GAAGAAAACCAATCGATATCTAACAGTTTACACTCCTGAGCCTCAACTCAAAGGAAGGGTCCCTGAACAAAATCTTACGTCCTTCCACTGCCTTGTCGGTCAGACCTCAGTCAAAGGCTCGAGGTGGAGTAGCTCAACCAAACCCCTTTATTCGGGCTGGGAAATCGGGAAATATCGTTTGCCCTTACAGATCTTCGTTCAATGACTCGTCCCCAGACGTCCCCCACTTAAGTTGTCAATCAATTAAACATTGCTCCATATCTGAGTGTCTGCTCAGCAAAATAAAAATAAACCTATACTTAATTCAAGAAACCAATCTACCTTGAATTTTTCACTACCCGTGAAAACTGTTATGGAGTGGCTGGACTTGTCTGTTGCCTACATATCTTTTAAGACTATGAAATACGGTTGGTCATTGTCATCATCACCATCACCACTAACAGCACATCGGTGTGCAACATTGATGCCTTGGTGCCGAACAACGATGACTTAGTTATGAAGGACAAATGATAAAGAATGGGCAAGGGACTCAGTACTAGGCTACTGCCCAAGCCTCCAGCCGCTCATTTAGGCAATCTGGACAAACAATGACAACACTGACATCAGTTAGCAGTGCCCCCAATCAGACACAGTGGGGATCACGCGAAAGGCGTCGCACCGACGGCACCCAGGTTTTTTCGTAGTCCCTCTGTCAGCTCAAAGGTTGGCCACCTCTCTGCTCGCGCCATTCTGGCTTCGGCAGGAAAAACAGCATTCTCTTCGGTAAACGATGGTTCGGCATGCGCAATACATGGCCTAACCAACGCAGATTTTGGTGCGAGACACCCTCCGATGGAAGTCCCCGTTGCAAAACGGAACACTCGTTTTCTAATTGCCTCGTAATAGATTTGCCTGCACCAAATTACTCGAGTCATGGTTCTCGGACAATGGTTGCCGAATTACTAAAGATGTCTCAGTCCGGCAGCTCCAAAAAGCCACATCCCACAACCATAAAAGAAAACAGCCCCACCATAGCCTGATGCACAATTGGGCAGCTGCATGCTCAGAAGCATGAATTTACACTTGGTGGATGCAAGGGGACGTCGCGAGTCAGTTCGTTCAAAAACACTTCTGGTTTCTGTTCGAAGATGAGTACAATCTCTCTGCATATCCCAGATATGCTAATGTTCCAGATAGACAGCCTACAGCCAATCTGGAGAGTGTACGGCGAATTGGTGACAGTAGTGTGGAAGCGACAAGCTCAACAACCGGATGTTTGACTCCCACTTCTGTGGGTAACCGGGTACCTTCAGGATGGTTAGGAAAATGAATGAAAATTTACTAAAACAATTAGTGTAGCACGACCTACTTCTATCCTGAAGTCACCGTCGAACGGCTGTGCCCCCGTCTTCTCTGTTGACCACAAGTTCTTAATGCTGGACATTTTACCAGAACAACGCTGCATCATTCTATGATCTCCCAAGCGTCATTCTACGTTTAGGTTAAAGCACAAGAAAAAAGGACTTTTGTAAATGATACACGTTTATTGCAACTATACCAGAGTGAATTCGGAAGTAATACATACACATGACCTGGAGATGCGCTCTTGGTCTCTCTGCGGGGACTTCGTGATACCTAGGATAATGAAGTGGCTTCGTTCTTTAGCGTTTACGGTGGTATTCGGACCGCGAGCCTTCTGGTGCACACCTACTTGCGTTACGTCATCCACAAAGCTGTACACGATTGAACATTTCAATTGTCAAGCACTACCTGAACGAGACGGCCCAGTGGTTAGGGTGCGAATTTACGGACAGGAAGGTTCGAATCCAACCTCAGCACGCTGACTCCCCCTGTCTAGGCTTGGGCAACCTGGCAGTACCTAAACCCTCATGTCACTCGAAAGGGTGCAATAGCTGGACGATTTTTTTTAACGTTTCACAATTTACGGTGAATATTCCACACTGCTCGGTTTGATCTGTGCACCGATTAGCACGCCAATTTGTGTCTCAACTAACGTGGGACCAGCCAACAATACGGGTAAGAATTCCGAACTCCAACCTCAAAAGCATTTACGTTTGGAAGACTAAATCTACGGCTCATCATGGTTATCAGAATATCCAGATCAAGTTGGAATGACAATTCTGATTCAACTACCGTTGGGAAGAAATATTCTCGGAGGACGATGGTGGGAAGCATGCATCGTACACGAATGCGTCTAAGATGTTTGATTCAATCCATTGTTGGGCAGTGATGTGCGCGTCCCATCTCCCAACTAATCCCAACTGATCTTTCACCTTCATAGCCACTTTCCGCTAAGAAGACCTCTTGTTTACACATCATTCGAGGTGTATCCTAAGACATTAAGTTGAATTCTTGGCTTCTGCTTTGACTCACAGCATCAGTCGTCTATTGTCTTGTGAAACTCAGCCACTCTAGGGGTCTTACATTCTTACATTTGTTATATTCTTACGTTCGTCGCCCCTGTCAAGCCAGCTCGCGTGGTCTTCGCCACTTTCCCCGTAGTCGGTAGCGGACCCAGCACTACTTCGACCGCTGATTGGTCCAGTATAACCACCATCCATTGAAGGGCAGAACAGGGATTGAGAAGGAAAGCTGATAAAAGTCTATATTCTTTAAGCGAAAGCTACAGATGTAAATCTCGGTGCAGTAACGGCTGAGAGAACCCAGTTCAGACCCTATTTTTCGCCCCCGATAGTGATGATTATTGAAGAATGCTGGGTAGTACAGATTCACGGATTCACGGATTGATACACATTTTTCGCCTAGTGATGATTATTCAAGAATGCTGGGTAGTACAGATTCACGGATTCACGGATTGATACACGCCGTGGGCTAGACGCACGGCACGTATTTCTCTGAAACCGTGGTTCGAGGGAGGAAAACTTTAACATGTAGTTTTAACATTTGATGGTAATTTTTCGGGCGTATGAGATCTTCCCAAACGGCCGCAGTTTTGTTGAAAG